ATGTGGTTTCTGTTATTTGTTACACTTCCTTGTTTGTGGTACTGTAGTGTCAGTCTATGAGGTTTGAAGAATGATGGTGTTTGCTAAAACTCACAGGCTTCGTTCACTCAAAGCCAACTTTGATCTAAGAAAGGAATTTTATTCAGCTGACATATTAGATATTTCTGAACAAGTTTAGCACCACACCACTTGAAAATTGGTTTAGCTCTGCTTGGATGTCAATTTCTTTGTCCTTATGCACTATTAAATAGATCAAAATAGCAGTGAATTTTTATTTCATTTTATAAAGACTTTACTGTTTGAGTAATCTTCTAAGCAGAAATTTAACAATTCCTCACACTTCACCATTGGCATCTCATTTGATTGCTTTTCCAAGATATTAATAACTCTTCATCCAATGAATTATTTTTTTTTTTAGATTAGTATACAGTCCAAGTACACATCTTACCAAATTTCCATAGTTCTGTAAGTCTATTTAAGAGTGTATATGTTACTCTATGTAACATTATCAAATATTTAATAACTCTTCATCTTGTAAGTTTCATTTGGAATGTGTTCTAACAAACACATTGTTTCTTGTATAAATCATCTTATTCTACAATTAAAAAAGCAAAGAAACAAAAAACATTAGATTATAAAAATCACTTACCAATTTGATGCTATGCAAACAGAGACATCGTATTTGTGCAAATACCTTCTTAACAATGGGTCTGGTTTTTTGATTGTGATATTAAAGCTACGCTTGCTTTTGTTCCCAGATGCCGCACCAGGAAACACAAGTGAGTAAGACCTCGCCCCAACCATTTCACCTCCCTTTGGGCATAGACCAAGATCCATTTGCAGCTTGATGTACCAAAATTGATCAGTATCTTGGTTTATCAAAGTTTTATGTTCAAAGGCACATTTTTGCTTCTCTGCTCTTAGTCAACAAAGTAAAAGTCATTTTGTTTGTAATACTTCCAGATTATCCAAGACTTTACATTTGGAAATCCAATCACTTTAAAAAGAAGCAGTTTTGTTTGGAATTAGAATCTGATTACCCCCCAAAAAAAAAAAAACAACACAATTACTTGTAATTAATGAGATTTGATTTTGTTCAACCCAGGGATTGAACCCTAGAACTAACTGGCTGAAATTAAGCAATGTTCAACCTTGTCATTACCTACATGGGTGAACACTGAGGAATACCAGGTATTGTAAGCTTGGATGTACAGGTGGTGTAATGGGTAAAGGCATGGAATGAGAAATTGGAGAGCCAATTTTGAATTCCAGTCAAGTTCATTATATTCACTTATGTGCAAATAGGTATGAACCTGCTTCTTCTCCTCTTATCTATGGGTTAAATAGTAAGACTTGTATCAGAAAATCATTATCATTTCCAAAAATATCTTACAATCCAAAAATATGTTTCGGCTTTATATATTGTTGAAAAGGTTAATGAAAAGCCATAAAAAACAAATCAATCAAAAAAAAACTAAAACTAACTGCCAACAGTTTTATTAAACTGGCACAAAACTGCATCTACAGGATGGCAGGTTATATTTTTTTTTGGTTAAAGTGTCACTATGAGATTTTTGATTCACAAACCTGTCAGACTTGATGCTAATTTTTGGCATTCTAATGTTGATAAAATAATGACCAGGATGAACTGAAGAATTGGCTGTTACTGTGCCAAAGTCAAAATGAATGACATGGATCTTTTTGAAATTTTCCAACTGCATCAAGCTTTTCTATTGATCTCTTGGATCAAATAGTTCTGCAAATGATCTTGGTCTGTGTCTGTTGGCATTCATATTTCTCAGCTGCCCATTTTATGAGTTGCCCTTTCTCCTCCCCACTCCCCCCCATACTCTAACTTCTGTTGGTGTGTAGCTTTTTTCTTTTTGTTTATTCTGCAATCAGTTTTCTATATTTCTTTTTTTCTCATGACTTCCAGTTTTCAAGTGAAAACAACAGTAATTTGGCGAATGTGCTTGTCAATCACTGATATTCTATAAAAAGACCTGATGCGATGAAATTTTGATGCTGTTTATTTATTAATGTTTATTCATATCATTTTTACAAGCATCACCAAAATCCATCGTTCATCTCATCATTAAACGAATATTACAGGAATCCCCTGCTATTGAGCACCTTCAATAGCTGTGTTAATCGAAATTAGAAACCTGAAATAATTTAATTTATTTTGAATGGGAAATAATTGATTTTGTTAAGAAATGCATTTTTTAATATTTAAAAAAATATTCATTTAAATGTTAAAAAAATAAACGTTTTAAAAAATAATTTTCCAGCAGATATATTTTGTCCAGTCATAAATATATATATATATATATATATATATATATATATATATATATATATAACTATGAACCTAAAGACCCAGGTAAACCTATTTAGGTTTTTACCTACGTGGATAAATCAGGGTAAACCCTGATGATCCACATAGGTGAAACCTCAGTAGGTTTTTATATATATATATATATATATATATATATATATATATATATATATATATATATATATATATATATGTATAATTATTTATTTAAAATATGATTCCAACGCTACATAAGAGTTCTCATGTTTTTCAAAAACAAGAGCCGAAAGCTTCAATATAATTATTTGAATTAAATTGAATTAAAGTACTAAGCTTTGTTCCATCTTCAAGTGAAATTTAATTAATAATCTTAATTTCAATAATGAATATGCTTATAAAACATGTAAATTCCAAAAAAGTGTTATTTCAAAAAAAATTTCACTTGAAGATGGAACAAAGCTTAGTACTTTAATTCAATTTAATTCAAATAATTATATTGAAGTTTTCGGCTCTTTTTTTGAAACATGAGAACTCTTATGTAGCGATGAAATCATATTTTTAAATAAATAATTATATTTATGCTCTACTTTTATATCGAAACTATTTTTTTAAAATAATAATAAAAATACTAAAGAACTTTGGATTATTTAGCTAACAAGTTCTTTTCCTATTTTCTATATATTTTTTACACACATATATATATATATATATATATATATATATATATATATATATATATATATATATATATATATCTTCAGGTTCTTTTTCTGGAGTCTGTTGTAATACAGGAGAAGCAGTCAACATTAAATAATTTTTTTTCCATAGAGGATCGTATATTGAAGTGCATATAATAAAAACAATTTTAAATTTAAATACACCTAAAAATTCTAGTTTGACTGCTTAAATGATGTCACCTTGAGTGACTTCCAGTTGGTTCCCACAAATGTGGGAATGCTGAAATTAACCAAAATCAGTTACATAAACATACACAAAACACAATTCTTGAAAATGAATGTATCACATTAATAAGAACTCTGGGAGGGGAAATACAATATGAATAGACAGAACTTGTTGATATTATTTAGCCAAACATCTTCAAAACAATTCTTGCTTCAAAATAAGGGGATTTTGGCAGCAAGAATTCTTTCGAAGATGTCGAGTGAAGTGAAGATTTTCTACATAAGCAATATTTTATTTTTATTACATTTTTTATTTTCCAATTCGGGGTTTATTTTCCATATCTTCTGTTGAAGTTTCAAATAAAATTTTAGCTGATTTAACTTTTCATGGTACTTTTTAAATATTTTTTAGTGTTCAAATGATTGTATTTTATACAGATTTCATAAAATTAAATTTAATTTATATTGAATGACAAACAAAAAAGCTTTTCACCAATTTTTTCTTACAAATTATACTTTTCATAAATAAACACTCGTGAAGGAATCAATAATTTATTGGAATCCAATAATTAATTGACTTTTTGTAGAGTTGAAACTCTACATGGTGAGTGCACAGCATTGCCACCAGAGATTAAAACTTTAATTAAATTAATTTTAATTAAGTTAAGACTGTAAGTAAAAAGGTGTTGGAACTTTTTGAGGTTAAGAGGTGCAATAAATTGCCTTATCAGATCCGACAACCAGCAAGTGCTCTTTGTTTTAGAGACATTTTGGGAGTCTAGTTATAGTTCAGTTCTATTGAATTGAATGAATTGGAAAAAGTGCCATGACAATAGAACATAGTCTACTTTTTTGGCTTGTAAAGTTTATCTATCTATCTATCTATCTATCTATCTATATATATATATATATATATATATATATATATATATATATATATATATATATATATATATATATATATATATATATATATATATATATATATATATATATATATATATATATATATATATATGTGTGTATGTATATATAGATAAAAAGAAAGAACAGTAAGATATATAATCTGGCATTCTTATAGATATTTTTTTTTTTACAAAATAGTGCTCAATGTAAATATTATATATATATATATATATATATATATATATATATATATATATATATATATATATATTAGTTAGTTTATGAAAAACTCGGTAATCCGTATGGGTAAACCTAAGGAGGATATAATCCAGAGAGCTCAATGTAAATTCAGAGCAAATATTTTAAATAAAAACAGAACACTTTAAGGTTCCATGTAATAAATTATTTCACTGCGGATGATCAGACTTTACTTCCAAACAAAAAATGAAAAGAAAATAACACTTTCAAAGTAAAGCAAAATAACAGCGTCTGTCTCTAGTTTTTTTACAAAGAAAATTAATGACATCTTCTCTTCTCTTCTCTCTTAACTTCCTACTCTCTTTTTTTCTTTGTTACCCCTTCGATTTCAATATATAACTTCCGTTAAGTTAACCGTTTAAATGTGTCAATATCTGCTAACTCACTCATGTCTTCTCTCTCTCTCCCCCCTCATTTCCTCACTTCGTTAATTTACATATGTTTAATATGGTTCATCGAAAATGTGTAAATTTTCTTTTCATTTTTTGTTTGGAAGTAAAGTCTGATGATCCACAGTCCTTTTAAAAGTGCTGTGGTGAAATAATTTATTACATGGAACCTTAAAGTGGTCTGTTTTTTTAATTTAATATATATATATATATATATATATATATATATATATATATATAAACAGAGTACAATACAAATTTAGTTTTAATGCAAACTGAATTATTTTGAATTAGCCTTTGAATTTTTGGGATTGAGGAGTTATCATAATTTCCACTATCTATATTCAGACTATTGTCCTCATCCTTGTTGTTATTATCACAACATTTAGGTTGTTGTGTTCTCTGGCCTTCCTCAGATGTATATTGATCTACAGAGAATTCTAAACTGAACACTTTATTTAATCTATGGTAGCTGACACTGTTCTCATTCAATTGATCATGTCTAGGGATATCGTCTAGTTCTTATTTTTATTCAGTACTATATAAAAATAAGAACAAGTCATGAGCAATAGAATGAGAACATTCTACCCTCGTAGATTCAGCTCAGAATTCCCTGTAGGTTACCCAGATCAATATAAACCTGAGAAAAGTCAGAGGGCACATTGGCCGAAACATTGTGGTAACAAAAACAAAGATGAGGACAATAGTCTAAATATCAATAGTGTATAGAGCCTTTCATTATTGGGCTAATCAAACTTCAGGCTCTGCTTTTTTTTTTTGTTTTTCATGATAAAAAATAGTTAGAGCGCTAATTGAAAATGTGTTAATCAGGGGTTTCCTGTACTTACTTGCAAGTTTTTATTTCCAGAATTTCACATAAACATACACACACTCTTGATTCATGTTTGCACTTTTCTTTTCTTTTTTACTTCCACTCTTGTAATTATTCTTGTATGCTTTTTCATTTTTAGTCAGTGGACATCTTTGATATTTTTTGCTTTAATCTTTTTAATTTCCAACAGATGACATCTTTTTGTTCTGTTTTCTTTGCAATTTCAATTTCATCTTTACTTTTCTTACTCTTGTTATCTAAAGTTGGTTTTTGTCTTGTAATTTTTATTTTTAATTTCTTGTTGCATTTTATTTGTCATTGTTGTAATCTTACACATTCTTCCCTTGCTTCTTTTGAATTCTCTCGTGGCAACATCTCATTTTTCTCTCAAGCATTGTGGAGGAGATCTTTGCTTATCATACAAAATGCTCTTTGTCTATTGGCTTCTCTTAATGTATATGTGAATTACTTATATTGTAAAATTTTTTTTTGTCCTTGCATGTAAAAAAAAGGGGTCATCTCTCTGGAGAAAGACTTTTCAACAAAAATTGAACAGGGAGTTTTTCTGGTGAATTCTTTTTTTTTTATTGTATATCTCATCAATTTACATGGTTGCTCAGTTCTTTGAGGACATTTGCATGAATTTAGTAAAAGACGCATAAGTCATGCATGAAGAGCTTTACTTGAGAAACAATTGGTATGAATAATCTTGAGAGTCTTCTTGATGCATTTACTTAATGAATCCACCATTAGCATCAATAAATGCTTCAAGACAAGGTTTGAAATGTTGACATGCCTAAATCAGATGATCTTTATTGATTTTGGACATTGTGTTAGTTATGATGGACTTCAGAGATTTTATAGTACTGTAGGGGGTGTTGATTGACTTTCCTCTTGACTACATCCCATGAATCCACCAGATTCAGGTATGGAGAGTTAGGAGACCATATGTTTGGGGTGATGTGATTTGGGAGATTGTAATTCATCCATTTGTGGATCATTTTGGCCTTATGAGATGGCACTGAGTCTTGTTGGTATGCGTACAGTCTTCCTTTACTTATGCTCTCTATCCAAGGCCTCACAACCCTCTCCAACACCTCCTTATAGTCAGCAGCATTGACCCATAAGCACTAAAAAAAGAAGTGAGGAGGCATGACATCTCCCTTATTGCTCACAACTCCCAGAACCATTATAACTGCTGGAAACTTTGTGCGCATGACCATTGGAATGTCTGTAGGGTCTCTAAATAACCAGTTGTTATTCCTTTGGTTGACCTTTTGCCCTGAAAGTTTTTCTCGTCAAAGAAAAACCAAACCATTCCAAGCTCTTGATGTTTTAACTTACTAAACAAGCACTTTGTGTTGATCATACAGTTATCTTTTATCTTCACAGACATGAACTGGCCTCTCTGCATCACATATGACTTATATTGAAGATCCTCATTTACAATTCTTTCAATAGAGTGCCTTGAAACCTTGAGTTCCTTAGCAGTGGCATTAATTGACTTTCTGGGGTTTTTATCAATGATTGTCTGCACCTTCCATACAAATTTGGATGTTCTTGATGGTATTTTACATTTGGCTACTGCTGTAAAATCACTGTCATCGGCTTCCACCTGTTTGTGAACTTTGACAACAGATGACTGCAACTTTCAGGAAGTGATTACACTCTAAATCACTATACTCTGCCTTTATTGCAATGATTACAACATGCCTTTTCATTTGCTGAGTTAGCTTGATGTTTGCTATCATTTATATAGAAAGAAATGATAATCAGAACAAGTTAGAAAAAAAAGTTAAAGCTATTAAAAGACATGTGCTCAAAAAAGAAAAAGAAAACATCAGTGTACCTATAACCAAGACATGTTCTCGGTACTGAGGAAGAATTATTCAGATTTCTATCTCTCTCTCTTAGAGACTATGTATACTTTGTCCTTCCAGCCCTTCCTCTGTAAGCTGGAGAGGCTTTCAAATATGAATGGTAGAAGCCTTTGATGAGTATATATTTAATATATGTAACATCCTGTTTTTGGTGTTTTTTTTCTATTTTATTTGCTATGCATGTTTTTACAGTCCTCAAAAGAGGACTCTGATGAGAGAGGAATTAATAATCAGTTAAACATTTTTTGTTCATTTTTTTTTTTCAATTTACTTTTTTACAGCACTTATAATTTTTTTGTTATTCTTTGTTTGATTTTAATATGTTTGTTTTTAATGCAATTATTTTTTTTAATTTATTCCTCTTTTGGGCAAAGATCCATAACTGCTTGCAAAATCAATTCTAATATGACACATTTTTGATTGTAGTACTATTGGTACACTAATTTTCTCATTTTGCTCATAAATTTGATAAAAGTATCTTCTAATGATATTCTAAGAAAGCATTCAAGTCCATTATTAGCATTAGTTATTTTATGTACATCAGAAAGAATAAAAGTAATCTGGAAAGACAGGGTCATCGGTAATCAAGTGTTTATCATTGTGCAAAAAAAAAATGTATTTTTTAAATTTATTTTCATTTCCTACATATTTTTTCATATATTTTTGACTGTTTTTGTCGTTAAAATGAGTGCTTTAAAAAAACATCACACGTTTTTGCTTCACTGATAATCTCTACTAAACAACCTTGTAACCCATCGGGTGACACTTCAGAAAAAAAAATTATGCTGAAAAAAAATTATTGTTGAAGTTGCTCTCACTACATTCTGTATAATAATGGCTGAATGTTCATATCCAAATATACCTGTCTACTAGGGCAGCTAGCCAATCCCCGTTGCAGACTCCTGCTCAGGCACATAACGGACTTTAGTTACAGTCATTATCTGGCGTGATCTGAACAAGGCCAGTAAGCTCAAACCCTTGGTGACAAAGACTTGTGACATTGATGAGTTTCCAAATAGTTCTGCCTATTCAATTTCACTCACATACCTTAAGTCAACACATGATATGATTTTCAGGCACTTTTCAAAAGTACAGCATAATAGGAAATTATGATTTACTGGAAAGAAACAGCTATAAAGATGCAGATGGTAATTTGTCATGGATGCCATTATTTTGGCTTTGATTGTTCACTGTGCAGTACAACCTATGCTTAAAGACTCCCCAACATGACAAAAATATGTCACAAAACAGGTCGTATTGTATGCTATTGTATGTTCACACCGGTTTGGAAATCAGACTAATTGACAGTTTATAACACAAATGCTAGCTAGGGAGTGACATTTCACAGTATCTTGAAAACATATTTTAAGGAAATCTATTTTTCATATTTCATGTTGAATGTAAAACAAAAGGCTTATAAAATATTTGAAAATAGAAGAGTGGACAAACACAGTGAATCAAAATATTTTGTTCTACCGACCAACTCTATCACAACAATAATTGAAAACAATTTCTCTAAGCTTAGTATAACATTTGTTACAACTGCTACTAAAACAATAAAAGAATTAATACAAAACAAAATAATAATAAAACTTGAACAAGGAATTTATTCTATTGCATGTAATAATTATGATTAATAAACAATCAGAACTTAACTCATAATAATAATAATAGGAGAAACCTCAAGGAATTTAAATAATAGATACATGATCACAAAAGGAATCTTTTTCAAAGCAACATACTCAATGCATTATTTACTCACCATACTGAATCAGACCATAATTTTGATTCTAAAAATGCTACTCTAATTTAAAGAGAAAGCAGTGTACTAAGACAAAGATTTATAGAAAGTGCTTTAATTGCTAGATAATCTATAGTAAATTTACACCTAGGTTCTTACAACATTTCACCTTTCTTGACAGATCTTCTATTATCACAATGTGGGATATTTAATTACAAAAGTGATAAAAACAAAGAAAAAGACACTAAATGAAATTAGCTACACTATATACTCAAAACATATATATATATATATATATATATATATATAAATTAATTTAAATTTAAAATTCTCAGTATTCCCTCTACTTTGTGTGCATGTGTAGACACAGTGTTGTGGATCCAGAACCCAGAATAGGTCTGAAAGAAAACTGAAACTCAGCAATTTAGTGAAAACATATTATTAAACAAAAAGAACAAATACAAAAGTGTTGCATGTCCGACTGACAGCAAAGTACAGTAGTCAACTTGTCAACTGTAGACAGCTCTCTTGAGAGGCATAATCTCCCCGTATATATAGTAATAGGATGAGTCCATTTAGTCCATAAAGGTAGGTCCTATAACACATAATTATAAACTTTACTTTAGTTCAATAAAGTCCTAAAGGACAAAACACGTCACATGGAAACTTTTTCCACTTTGTCATAGATTTCCCTAAAATTTTTCTTGATATATATTGTTTTCCCAAACATATCTATACATCGACAGCAGGCAATGTATGTTTTTGTAAAGGCAGAAGTACAGCTTGAAAATGTATGTATACATCAACAGCAGGCAATGTATGCTTTTGCAAAAAAAAGTACAGCTTGAAAATATATATATATGTCAACAGCAGACAGTGTATTTTGTAAAGCAGCCAATGTACGGAAGTGTTAAGTATTTAATAAATTTGAATGTGTATTGGTAAAAATTCAAATGAGTGAGAACTGTTGGGAATATCAAAGAAAGCCTAAACTAACTCTCTCATCAAACACTGTGTGATTTGTATAATAAAATTTCATTATCACTTTTCCGATTAGATTTGTTTAAACATTACCAATCTCTATTGCAGATAAGATCATCACATACAAAAACTGGGCTGAAAAAATTCAGAACAACTTTGAGAAATTGTTCTGGATCAAGAGAGATCCCTCCACTCAGGATCCTGATTATAAGCTCATTAACCGTCGTGGTATTTACAAGGATAGCTACAACGCCTCTGAAACTTGGCGGGACTATCAACTGCGACCCAACTTCCCTATGGCTATGGTTGTGGTAAGTAAACACACTGTTCATCCCCCACCTAGCATGCATTTTCTCGCATTATTTAATCAAAAAATTTTTTTTTGCTAAGGTCTACCATCAAAAGACTTGCAAGCTCGTTTTCTCTTTCCTTCTTTAGGCTCCGGAATTGTTCACACCAGAAAATGCCTGGCATGCTCTGAAAGTTGCTGGCAGTGTGCTGCAAGGACCATTGGGTATGAAGACTTTGGATCCCACGTAAGTAACTGCAGTCTCCTTATTCATTATCTCAGAACAGAAAGGGTTCATCTGGTTTGATCTTATTTTATCTTTTAATATATCACCTCCTGATTTTGAAGCAACACTTGAAGCAAAATGCTATCCATTGTCTGAAGTTCTGAAATGAGAAGTGTCATGATTTCATGTCGTGCTGGACAATTTTTCAATCCAGAATCTATCTTACCTATCTATAAGTCTACCATTCATTGTTGCTTAGAATATTTCTGCCACAGATGGTCTGGTGCTGCTGCTATATGTTTAAAGATTCTTGATAAAATCCAAAGAATAATCAGCAATATTATTATATCAGAAATATTCAGCCACTTTCCTACTACCATAAAGTTGCTTCTCTGTGCCTCTTCTATAAATACATTCATGGTAATTGTCCTGATGAACTTTCCTCTATGATAGCTAGACTTTATGAATTTAAGCACAGTACTAAATTGGCAAAAAGGTCTCATCAATTTACAGTTGAATTGACTAGGTGTAACTGTAAGTTCTATGCTAATAGTTTTTTTCTCACACTTCTTTCTTGTGGAACTTATTTCCAGCTCTGTGCATTCCAGTTAACTTTGATTTTCAAAAATTTAAATGCAATGTCAATTGTTATCGACTATCTTACTGAATACATTTCTGTTGTTCTCACTCATTAGTAATGTTTCTTGTTTTCTAATTCTTTCACACCCAGTAACCCCTTGTGTCTTAGTGGCTTTATTGCCTTGCTTGATTAAAAAAAAATTAGGAAACGGTAGCCGATTTTCCATTTTAGGACATTACTATGAAACCGTTTTATTATTTGAATAGAATAAGAAAGCAATTGATTTGTTATATTTTAACTTTAGGCCACTAGCATTCAGAATACATATCAATCAATCCACCCTCTTCACAACCACAAATCTCATAACCCCTAGGGCTATAAGGGCACCACAGCCACAGCAGCAGTGATGTTCATGTAGTTGCAGTAGATTTAATGCCCCTACAACCCTAGGAGATTTGTGATCGTGAAGACGGTGGATTGATCAACAAAGAAAGCCCAGACTACTCTCTCATCAAACACTGCAAGAGATGAAAAAAATATTTTCTCTTGCTGATAGATTTTTTTTTACCCCTGTGGCAGTGGAGACTTCAGGGGTTATTGGCTCTTGTTTGATGGCGTTCCTTCAGAGGATTGGTGCGATTGAGTCTTGCTTAAGGGACGAGCCTCATGAAATGGAGTGGCTCTTGCAGCATGTCTCACTGGCGATGGTTTGAGGTAATGCTTTCTCCATCATTGCGGCTGGCAGAGGATGGAAAAAAATTGTATATAGTTTCTAGAATTGTCATCAATGGTCAACTGAACTTGCTTTGTTTCAATAAATTTTATCCTTTTTATTTTTATTATTTATATTTGACCTTTTGTCTTCATCTTTGCTGTAGCTGCCACAATGTTTCAGCTGTTATGCCATCCAACCTTCCTCAGGTGTATATTGATCTAGGTAACCTACAGGGAATTCCATACCGAACCCATTATTTAATATACTTGGGTAGACTGTTCTCGTTTTATTGCTCATGTCTAGGGATATCGTCTAGTGGCAGCCTAATCAGCAGTGAAGGTTAGGTTTAGATCTAACTTTATTCCAAATTGTCCTACATGAAAATGGTTGTGTGTAAAAGCTTTAGTTTGTGTATTTGGTGACATAGTAGTTGTAAGTTCAATCCTTGGGTTGGCAGTGTGTATTTGCAATCAGTGGAAATGGATGTGAAATAACTGAACAGTGCCACATAAAAAAAAAGAACTACACGATATCCCTAGACATGAGCAATGGAATGAGAATGGTGTACTCCTGTAAATTAAATAAAGGGTTAGGTTTTATTATAACTTCCTATTGTAAGGTTATTGTTATAGCACACACTTGTACTTGGTATAATGTAATTCATATAAGTATTCTCTATACATCATGCTTAGGCTACTTGACATGACACCTGTATAGTAGTATGAAAATTGACTCCTACCAACATACCTACAGACCATGGAACTCTTTATAGTATTGGACGAGTTCATAGAGTCACCGGGGGTGTACTCTTTACTCCACAACAGGTTTGGAATTCGGAATTCCTTGCACAAGAATGCATCTAGAATAATTGCATAACATCATGACGTTCAAAAGAGGTCTATTTGCGATAGTCTTTCCCCCATTTTTGTTATTTATTACTGAATAGAAATCTCCTGAGCTTTGACTTCCATTTAACCTTATTTTCCATTTTTCTTTTTCTCTCTCCCCAACTATTTGACTTTATGCAAAGCATGATTAATCACGAGTTTCTCACAATATCTTATGTTTTTTTTTACCCCTCTTCCCGTTTCGTTTTTATTTCTAACGACCTAAAAACATAAATTTAATTTTATAATCAATAGATTAGAGGGTTTTTTTGTTTTTTTTTTACTTGTCAACATGTTTTAAACATTTTATTATGATATTTATAAGCACTCTCGGTTTAATTCGCTGTAATTTATTTATTCATTTTAATCGTATAAACAAGTTTTTTAGGTTTTTTTTTATGGTCGAATTTTTCTTATTATCTCTGTAAATAGTAATTACTAGCTGGTGAAATGAAACTTGATGGGAAGTGGGTAAAAACGGAAAACATAATTACCTTCTAAGTATCCGATGAAAGGGTGTCCACTCAAAAAAAAAATGAAAAAAAGAAAAAATTACCTGTAAACAGCTTAAATAGAGTTTGCACCATTGTGATTGGCTATTGGTCAACCTCCAATCAAATGCGTGATAATGGGGTACATTTATAGAAGTCAGTGTCTACAAGCATTTTTTAGAGGGCACATCAGAGTCCGATCAGCTCTGATGGGGTCGACTTGGTGAGGTCAGTATGATGTTTGAAAGACCCGAAACTGCCCAATGATCCAAATCAGAACATCACTAACAACGCCCTCTAGCGATAAAGAGCGTATATTCAAAGCCTATGTTTTATAGATTATGCCAAAGCATTTGATATATCATATCTTGAAGAACTGTTGGAACTGCTAGTTAAGCTTGATATATTTGGGAATGATATTAGAATATTACAGAACTTAAACTGGAAGCAAACTAGCAGCAAATGGATATAAAATGAATTCAGTAAATAGACAAAAATAGAAAGGGACATAAGACGAGGATATATCTTCTCACCAGGTTTAGTCAACATTTACAGTGAAGCAATTTTGAAAAAAATAGAAGTCCTACCAGGATTTATTATTATAAAATTAAAGATGCAAGTGATAGTGTTGTTAGCAGATACAGAAGGAAATAAACGAAAGCAAGAAGAAAGGACTAAACATCAATTGCAAGAAGTCAAAATGCATGGTTGTCAGCAAAAGGGAACAGACCAAGATGTAAATTACAAATTGGAGAGGGCAAAATCAAACAAGTACAACAATTTATATATCTGGGAGGTGTTTTAACAAAGGAAGGAAAGTGTGACATCGAAATCCGAAGGCACATTGGGATAATGAATAATGCCTTCCAGAAAGCTAATCAAAGTATTAAAAGCAAGAAAATTTAATTAGAAACAAAGTAAAGAGTAATTATAATTTTTATGTAATATCAGTCCTCCTGTATGACAGTGAATGTTGGACAATCTTATCACAGATGAAGAGACTTGAGACAACAGAAATATGGTTCTACAGAAGGATGCTGAGGATTCCATGTACTGAATATGTGAGCAATGACAAAGCTTTAGAGAAAATGAAAACAAAGGACACTTATACTTAGCATCCGAAAGAGAAAGTTAAAACATCTAGGGCACATTTCGAGGAAAGAGAGTTACAAAGGACAGGAAATTTTGGAGAGCTACGATCGTCCAAAGGGACATGGTACATAGAATAATAATAATAGTAATGTGTTCATGAAATAAGCTTTAGAGTAAAGAGCTAATAATAGTGATTATATAGTAGAATCAACTCGGCTTTATATATGTACATATATATGCTTTAGAATAGAGGGCTTTCAAAAATGCTTTTGATACATACCAATAATAATATTGATTATATAGTGGAGTCATAGATAGGCTTTAGATATATACAGGAAGTAGGGTTTAGAGCAAAGGGCTTTCAAAAATGAAAATACTTTTCATACACCCTAATATGTAATAATAATATTGATTATATAGTTACAATCATTGATAGTCTTGAGATGTACCCATGAAATAAGCTTTAGAATAAAGAGGTGTCAAAAATGAAAATACTTTTGATACACCCTAATAATAATAATATTAATAATTGTCTTTAAATCATTGTTTTTAAATATGTGCATGAAATAAGCTTTGACATTAAAGTTTGTCAAAAACCAAAATACTTTTGATATTTGCTCATAACTTACATCATCGTTCATTATTATTCCTTATTTTGTCAGTGGTGGCAACATTGGCCTTTTTCGAAGATTCTTTTTCAAAATACCCCATGTGATTTTCTTAGACTGTTGCCATATCTCGTCTGGTGCTCCTACTGTATATCTCAAGATTCTTAACACAGTTCTAAGAAAGGTCTGTAATTTAATTGATCCTGACCTGGTATCTCAACTTCAGTCACTTTCTCACTAACGTCTTTTCTACAAATATTTTCATGGCATCTATTCTGATGAGCTTTTTTTCATTAATACCTTGACTAATGAATTTAATGCTGCTAGATTGGCAATTAGGTCTCACTAGCTAAATGTAACTTCCACTTCTATTCTAACAGTTTCTTTTCTCTCACTTTTCGTATGGGAAACTCTCTTCTGATTTCTTGCTTCCCTGACACCTGCAATCTTCAAAAATTTAAATGCAATTTCTCCAGCCAGCTTCTGTCTTCCTGAACCCTCTTCCTTTATTGTCTTTTTCCTCACTTCTCACTAAAGTTTTCTCTTTCACTCCCTATAACACTCTGAGTCTGTGTGGCATTATCGCATTGTTTGGGGATGAAATTATAAAAAAAAAAAAACTGGCTGGTTATATTGCCTTGAGAGAATATTAAGCCTCAAACTCACACTTGACCTCAAGTGGAACTCGTATATACAATCTATTGCTAAAGATGCAGGTAAAATGGTCAGCTTCATCTATCACTGCAGTAAGTACCTAACTCCTCTATGTTCACAAAAGCCAGATCAGCTGAAAATGGAGCACTATTGTCATATTTGGGTCGGAGCAGCCCAGTTCTCATTTTCTAGTCTTGATAGAGTTGTGGGTGAATTATTTTCCTCTCTCCAACCTCTCTCTCACAGACAGGATGTGGTGAGCCCCTCGCTGCTCTCACTATTTTGATGGAAAGTGCTTAGACGAACTACATTCCTTGGTTCTGCCAACTCTAACCTTCACGGCTAGGACCTGCCATGTCATTTACATTGTAGCAAACCACCCACACTCCCTCTGTATTCCAACTACATCTGGCAGCAAGGCCTTTGATTGGAAGATTGGAAGTTTTGAGGAGCATTGAATCAGCTCTTAATTGTTGTCGTTCTCAGGTCTATCCTGACCCCAGGAGGGAGTACCTATTAGGGTCCCAGCTATTGGCAAATAGTGAAAACCCAAACAAAAACAAAAAACTATAATATAAAAATACAGTCTTATAGTAAAAATACCAGCAATACATTTTTATATAAAAAATTAACAACAATATATTTTTATAGCAAAATTACCAACAATATTTGTACAACTTCTTCCTGTGAACCATTACCCTGTGGAACAGACTCCCAAGAGGATATTTCCCTGATCACTACAATGTTAACTTGTTCAAGTCTAGAGTTAACCATTATCTTTCCCTCCTATTCATGTAAACTACCCCCTAATGTAACCATCTACTTCAAATTGGGCTTTGTACAGGGTGAACCTTACTTTAAAAAAAAACAAATGTCGGAATAGGTTCAATCCGCTTTTATTTTGAATTTACCTAAACTTCTGTTTTATATTTTTATGAATTTTGCTTGTTTATCTCGCTTTATTGTCAAGTCTTTTTTATTTAACCCAATAAACCATAGCATAAATTGATGTCTGCAGAGATGAAACTTTTTGCACAATGAAGAATTATTTACACATGGTTTTTTTGGTCTTATCTTTGCAGTGATTGGAATTACTGTGGATTCTATGATAACAATAATGATTCTAACGATCCGAAAGTTGCCAAGGGCTTTAACTATCACCAAGGACCTGTAAGTAACTCTCTCTCTCTCTCTCTCTTTTTTGGTTAACAAGCATCTGCGTAAAGCTGTCACATCTCTCCTCAGTTTCAGGTTAAATTGCAGGCTAGACTGTGCTCTCTAGCCTTGGGATGCAACCAGTCTAGGAAAAGGAAATAAAACATGTTTAAAACTGAAAAAGGCAATATGAAGAGGAAGCTGTGAAGAGCCATGATTACTTTTGTCCTGAAGGGGTGTCACATTTAAAAAAATATTCAATCTTCATTAAATAACTCAACAGGTATTGATATATTATAAATTCAATCAGCCAATTAAGTAGTGTGTTTGATACTCACTGGGTGTTCATACAAAGTTCGGCATTAAATATCCCATCAAGGGTTGACAGGTTGCAAAATCAACCAACCATTGTAAGCACATTTGCATGGGGTAATGTTTAGCAGAGTAAGTCTAGTTGATTATTACAAATGAGAAGTGAGTTTGATACTCACTAGGTGCCCAATACATAATTCAGCACTAAATAACCCAACAAGGTTTTTCATGTCATAAAATGAAACAATCAAATCTTTTGTTCTTGTTTCTTAGTCATTATCTATTTTAATTGTTTAAATACATTTATCTTGATCTATCTATCTATATATATATATATATATATATATATATATATATAAAATAAATGAGAATGTCAGTGTTTCACTGTGTTACACTTTTTCAACTTTACTCCTAGAGGCTGTAGCCCAACATATAATACCATTTTGGAATTAGGCTGACTCTATGAGCTGGGCTGGATCTGGACCTACAATCCTGAAATTTTGTATTCCCAAGTTTTCATTACTGTGATTGTTTTCAGATTCTGCCATCTTGGCTTCTACTGATAAAAACAATTAAAGAGACACAACTCTCTAGCTTTTGTTCAAATGAAAAAATTACTGTTCTCACATTACAGTGTCCGTGTTTTCAACTTTCCTCCTAGAGGCTATAGCCCAATATATCATACCATTTTGAAATCAGGCCGACTCCATGAGCAAATTAAAAGCATTCTGGATCAGATCCGGGCCTGCACTCCTGAAATTTGGGATTCCCAAGTTTTCATTACTGCGATTGTTTTTGGTGATTTTTTTACATGATGTATTGCAACAATTTTTTGGTACAATAACATTTTTTATAATTTGGAAATAAATTTGGGAATAATTAAAATTATGTGAAAACCAAGTCACTCATGAAACAGAAATAATTGTTTGCATGAAAGGCAAGGACCTATGTACATCAAATTGTCTTTAAATTAAGTGGCGGCAGAAGAATAATTGTTGAACTTTTAAAAGGTAAGCTTAAATATTAATGCAATATATAATGTATATAAAATATGTACATATTTTTTACATTATTACTAAATATTAAGTGTTTATACATTTTTTTATAGATACAAATATTTAAATGCTCTGTTTATAATAAACAGTATTCACAACATTGAATATCTGAGAAATTTCATAGAAAATATGTGTGCTCCAACAGGAAAGGAACCTGTATCCTATGTAGAACTGCCATTTAGTCTGATGTACTATACCATTTAGCTACAGAGGAAGCATCTGTTTAGCAAGTAATTTGTAAAATCAGTAATTTAAGATTTCTACCCAGATGCTTTCCCTGTAGCTAAATGGAGCATGTTATCTCTATCTATAAAAGGCAGGATGTGTGTGTGTGTGTGTGTGTGTGTGTGTAATGAATGCTCGGCTGCAATCAAGTGATAGTGATTGGTGTATGAGTCGTATGACTTTTGGCTCAAGCACGGGCAATGCCAGGCCATGCTGCTAGTTATGTATATATTACATACATTATGTATATATATATATATATATATATATATATATATATATATATATATATATATATATATAAAGAAATATAGTCTTAAGATGTGCTATGTTTATGATAGATAAAAGTGCTCAATATCAGAGATACGATTGTGTTCCAGCATGCTACCTCTAAGTGTTGACTTCTATGTTACATTTATATATATATATATATATATAAATATATATATATATATATATATATATACAGATTATGTATATATTATATATATACAGATTATGAATATATATATATATATATCAAGACTTAGATATATATATAGTCTATATTTCATTTTATAGAAGATAGTCTGTTTCATGCAATGCAATCGTCAGGCCTGACGATTGCATATCATGTCAGGCCTATGTTCACTTTATATTTACACAATTTATCTCTGATATTGCACTTTATCCCATAAACATGCACATCTTAAGACTATTTCTATATATATATATATATATATATATATATATATATATATATATATATATGTGCATTATGCAGAATCTTAAAAATATGGAAAAAGTAAATTTCTCAGAAAAAACATTCCAAACACAAACGGAATTATTTCATAAAATTAATGCAAAAAACAGTGAAATTAAAGAAATGGAAAGTGTTTTTGTTCCTTTGAGGGAATAACTCAACAAAAGAATTTGAAGTTTATGTTTTCAGAAATGAAAAAATAGCACCATTTAATGAAAGGTTATTTGAATTTGAAATGGACTTACTCAATATAATAAGCAATATCTCTTTTCAAAAAAACAAAAGCTATTTCCAAAAACATTTAGAGCAAATAGTAAAAGGCATCAACGAAACAGATTTAGTACTGGTGAAGTCTGATGAAACTGGAAATTTTTACAAATTAACAGCAGAAAACTACAATAACCTAATTAAAAATAATTTCATAAGGAACTATAAAAAAGCTAATAATAACAATGTAAATATGGTAGTGAATATAAACAGAACAAGTAAAGACATCATGGATAAATTAAAAATAAGTGATAGAGTAGGAAAACTAACAGAAAAGAAATTCTACATCACTATTAAGGACCAAACTGGATTTCGAGGAAAATCCTACTAGTAGAATAATAAACCCAACCCAATCAGGTATTGGAAAAATAAGCAAAAAAATTCTAGTAAGGATTACCAAGCAAATTAAGGATTATCTAGGATTGGATTAATACCAGAGATCACCAAATGATTTAACAGTATCAACAACAAGCCAAATTGCACCCTAATTCAGTTT